TGAACAGTTCCCTTCATGCTTTCGACAACATCTGCAAGAGCAAGTTCTGCTCGAAAAGCTTTAAGCAAAACTCGACTTTCAATGCTTATGGATGCAGGCGTTGCTAAAATGATTTGTACCCTTTCGAAGCAGCAATATTCTTTGTCTTTCTTAGTGCTGAAGAAAGTATATCCCTTGGTGGCATCACCATCCAGATCTAAAAACTTCTCACGATGCTTGTGAAAAGGGAAAAGTGGCAAGAGCAGTTTGGTTGGGGTAGCTTTGTTGTAGAGATCTGCTCGTGTGGAGCTGGCTATAGAATCGGTTCAAGCAAGGATCTTGGTACTGTGAACAGTAAGTGGGAAAGAGAGGAAAGCAGGCATTCGGGAAGATCAGGCTTGCTCTATGGCTGGATTGCCGCCGTGAGAGGAGGCAGATCTACTAGAACTGGAGTGGGAGGAAGAAAACAGAAAAGGCTTGTGTAGGTGAAGCTTGACGTAGGAGCTGAGTGAGGGAACTCTTATGGCTTGAAGAAGAGTTGTGGGAGGTGTTGGACGGGTAGAGCAGAGGGTGGGTTGGGGAGTATACAGGAACTATGGAGGAGATTTTGACGGAAAGAATGGAATGGCTTGGAGAGCACTAGCAAGTGCGTCGAGTGAAAACAGCGGAGAAGGTGAAGTTGGAGCTTTTGGTGAGCAGAAAAGCCACCGTCGGGAACGTGAGGTAGAGAGAATTATATCTGCTTCCAAGACCAACTGAAGGTTTATTTAACGTCGTTCTTAATATCCAGCCTTCGGTGTGGGAGCAACGTCGTTTCAACCGAGAGCTCAATTCGACTGAGATGAGATTTGTGAAGGCATTCAGCGGGATTTAAGGGATTCAACGCAGAACGAGGTTTGCATTAATGACATTAAATCTGATTTGATTTCTCATAATTTGACTTTTGATTTCTATCAAATTAATAATAATATTTAATAATAAAATATTATTATCAATATTATGATTAATCATAATGACATTTGATCTTGATTTGCATGTTTCCTCGATATTTGTGTGTATTTCATCTCGTAGTGTGTGTCGATCTTACCGAATATTGAAATTGGATAAATTGGTAATGCGTTTAGGGTATTACCAATGTCCTGATCGCAACGGCACAGTCCGTTTTGCGATCGGACGTCGTTTGGGCGACAACGAGGCCTAATTCCCTCGAAATGCGTGTTGTCTTGATTTGCGCGCAAAATCTCATTCAAACAAATTGGCAGTACATTCATAGTATTGACGATGTTCCGAACCCAATGACGCAGTCCAATTTGCAATCGGACATCGTTTGGGCAACCTCGAGACTTCTTTTCTCGGTATGTGTGTTTTGCCTCGAGATTCATGCCACCATTATGGATACTTAAAATTGAATAAACAAAATACAGTTTTCAGAGGTTGACAATGTTTCGGACGCAACGGTGAAGTCCGTTTGTCGATCCGACGTCATTTCGTTTCCGTAGAGACAAATTTCCTTGATATGCGCGCTTTCGCATCATATTTTGATCGTCTTTAAAATTTACGACGCTATCTTAAATGATCCAATTTAATCAAATAAAATATATATTTCTAATGTCAACGACGTTCCGAACGTAATGGCGCTGTCTGTTTGTCAATCGGACGTCGTTCAAGTATCGTCGAGGCCTCATTTCCGTCGTAATGCAGGCTTTTATATCATATTTGAATTGCTTAGAAATTCGTCACCATCTCAGACGGTCCAAATTTATTAAATAAAATATAGACTCTTAATGGTGACGACGTTCCGGACGCAATGGCACTGTCCGTTTTGTAATCTGAAATCGTTTGGGTGACGTCGAGGGACAAACTTCTCGATATGCTTGTTATTACCTTGGGATCCTTGTCACTATTACGATTGATCCCAATTAATCACAAAAGATGTATATTTTGAATGTCGAGGACGTTTCGGACGCAATGGCATAGTTTGTTTCATGATCTGATATCATCTGAGCGACGTCGAGGCCTAATTTCCTCGAAATACGCATTGTCTCGAAATTCACCACCATCTCAGATGATCCTAATTTATTAAATAAAATATATATTCTGAATGTAAAGGACGTTTCGGACGCAATGGTGCTGTCCGTTTGTCGATCGGACGTCATCCGAGCTTTTTTTTTTTTTTGAGGCCTCATTTTCGTCGTAGCGCATGTCTTCGGATCATATGCGGATCGCCTCAAAATTAACGACAACCCCTCAGAAGATCCAAATTGATTAATAAAAATGCATATTCTTAATGTCGACAACATTCCGGACGCAATGACGCAGTCCGTTTGTCGATCCGACATCGTTTAATCATTCTCGCGCTTTAATTTTGGGTGTTGGTCCTCCCTTTTTGATTGATTTTATCCAATTTAATTGCGACAGGCCTCGACCCAATAAAATTTATTATCCTGATCGCAATGGTACCATATGTTTGGCATTTAGAGATCATTTGACCTCTTAAATGATGCATTTTGTCAAAGCATACATTACCTAAATCGTCTTTTTCGCCTCTTTTCACATGGTTTATATGTAGGGGTCAACACTTTGATAACCAAAAATACTAAATGATAACTTTGAATGTTCATAATTGTTTAGTAAACCAATCTGATTTTTTTTTTCTTCATCTATTTGCATCTTTGCAGCTCACTATGATCATCAATGAAACACTAAGATTGTGCCCCGCAGTTCCCTTTATCATGAAGCATGCACATGAAGATATAAAACTAGGAGAACTAACAATCCCTTCAGGAGTCGATATTGAGGTGCCAATTATATCAGTTCACCATGAAAAAACAATATGGGGAGAAAATGCCAGCCAGTTCGATCCAAGCCGGTTCTCTGAAGGCATATCCAAGGCGGCGAAGCATCCAATGGCTTTCATGCCATTTATGCAGGGTCCAAGGATTTGCCTTGGCATGAATTTTGCCATGATTGAAGCAAAGGTCACACTTGCTATGATCTTGCAGAATTTTGACATTTCTATTTCTCCAAAATACAAGCATGTGCCTGTTGGTGGCCTTACACTGAAGCAGGGAAGCGGAGCACCTGTCATCTTCAGAAAGATATGAAACAAAATCTATTTATGGACTAGTACTGGTTTTCACCTCCTCTAGTTTGTTTTTTTGGTATTTTAGAATGTTGGACAATATATCTGTAATGTTGAACTGTTGATGGTTCTAAATAATCTGAGGTGAAGATTAAGGTTATGTTCGGCTTTAAGGAATTGAAAGAGATCAAAGATTTTGAACTGGAAATTAGATTTAACCTACTCTTTTGATCGAGGAGGAATTGACTGGAAATATAATCTCTATTTTATTTGATTTGAAGGAATGATAATCAAATATACGAGTGAACGCTATACAATATTTCCGAAGAGAGCAATGAGTGAAAAGAAAAAAAAAAACTGCTAACCTTTGCTTCGTATTATGATTCTATTTACTGAATTTATTTGTTATGTTTCTTTTATGCTTCGTATTATGATTCTATTCAATTTTTATTATATATTTACAAATGATTGTATCATTATTATAATATTTAAATATAATAAGTATTTATTATGTCGTCCAATTCGACCCCAATCGAACTACCAACCTTTTTGTCTTCCGATTCATTGTTTGGTCCGATTTTCAAAGCCTTAGAAAGAACAAGCTCAGAAAATGCTTCTTATAAACAAGCTTGTTCATAAACACTTTAAACAAACAATTCAATAAACATAAATAAATACCTCTCATTCATGAATAAATTGAAATGAACTTTATATCAAGCTTATTCATAAATCTTAATTGATATTATTCATGAATATAAATGAAATGAACACATAATTTGTCAAACTTATTTATTTATTAATCAAGTATTTTAAAAACCGTACAAACATATTTGATTATTTAAACAAATAATCATGAACAAGCTACAATCTAATTGAGTTGCAAATAACTTATCAAATACTCGGTTAATTTGCAACCCTAACTTCATGCATCTGTATATTATTTTTGAAGCCCATAAGAGAATCAATGCATGTTTTTCAACTAACATAACCTTCACAATTTTTCCTCCTAGCCTAAAGAACAGAAAAGTAAAATCCTCATTAGAAAATTAGACTCTATAAGGCTTTATTTAGAATATCTTTCTTCTATTTTTCACCACTAAAAATTGTCATATTAAAATTTTATTTTAGAAAATAATAAAAAAATATTCCAAATAAAACTTAATAAAATATTTTGAATTTCACTTTTAGGATTATTTGTAAATAATTGTGAGAATGCTTTCAATCAGGAACTCATCATATAACTACTATATCCAAAATATTTGTAGTTAGTTTATTATTATTGTTATTTATTTACTTATTTAAATTTGTTTTTAGTTATAACTCAAATGCCTTTTTTTTTAGGGTCTATCTATTTAGCAAAGTTTGATGCACCACTTAAATCGAATCCGACAGCACCGCATAATTCCTCTACTAAATAACCTTCTATTGTTCCTGATTCATGACAAAGAATAGACACTTTACACAAATCATCTTGATTTGTTGGTTAAAAGCTTTGGTTATCAACCAAAAGATATTGAGTTCAAATATTACGTATATGATGCATGTATGAATTTGCTTTAATTAAGAAGACACTTTTACCTCAGCAATACATATATAAATAGATGAACACGTTACATAAGCTAGATAGTCTGCAAAAGTTTGAGCATCCCAAGAAGGAAAAAAAAAAGGTGAAGAAGAAATTGCAAGTATAAGCAGTGGTAAAAACTTTTTTTTTTTTTTTGTGAGGAAGAAGCAAACCTTTTTTTTTTTTTTTTTGTAAGGAGGAAACACTATCCTTAAGCCAGTGAAAACCCCGGTCAACCTAGCATGCAACCCACACCAATTTACACGAGCCAACATTTAAGACTTTCACTGCTTGTCAAGAGATTCGAACCAGGGACCTAGGCTTTGCCCAATCAGTAAAAACTTGAGTTACAATAAATCAGAACCTGCAGGTATGTATACATTATCAAATATGTGGATAAATAATTGATCTTCTTTACTTCTCTTGATGTTACAAAATTAGTGAATAACATTTAAGTTACAAAACTTTGGCAGTTGACTTGGGCATCAATAAACAAACTGGTATTCTCTTTTTACCTTGTACACACATTGCCAGATTTCATTTTTCCTTGTGGAACTAAATTAGCTCCGGCTGCTCTCTCATTCAGCTTCGGCCAATGAACCCTGTAGATCAATGAGACAAAACTAGAAAAAAGATCCATACAGGAAGAAAGTCATAGATACTATGGCAGTAATAAGGTTTATCCAGTTTTATTATGAAATAATTTGTTCCAAATTCATTGCTTAAAGGTTATGACTTCTAATTTGCAGAAACAAATAAATAGTTTTATTCTCTTTTCAAAGAGGTAATGAACAGTCATTTACGATCCTTATCTTCATTTTAACAATTGGTCAATTAAAAATACATTAGTTTTTCTTTTTTTTTTTTAACATTCTTTAGGTGAATCACGGATTGATGAGGCAAATTTTTAACAAGAGTTAGCAGAATAAAAGAAAGAAATATACCTTTATGAATGCAAAAAAGAGAGCAGATGTGTATGAACCAGAGAAAACAACAGAAAAGCTTCATTTTCTCCTTTTTCTTCCTTTTCCCAGTTGCCCAGATTTGAAGGCATGTTCCTGTTCTTGTAGGAAAGCCAGTGCTTTACCATATTTTTCAGATCTTTCCTCATCCTGCAACAATCTGTCTCTCTCTTTAAGTTCAAATAAGAAATGGTTATCCTTACGCAGTTCACGCACAGCTCCTTTTGCTTCTTTCTTTAACAGTTTCTTTAACTTCTTCCTTTGAGCCCTTTCACGGTCAGGATCATAATCTATACCCTTGACAAAACTGCAGAACATTTATTCCAAAGAGTTAACAATAAGTTTTGCATTGATATTATAAGGATCACAACCCTCCATGTACTAACTAACGCAAACCGTATAATAATTGAATTACGTTGAAAGAAACACGTATTCTCATCCCATCCTCAGAAAAAACAGGAGAAAAACAAGTCATACGTATGGAAAATAATAGGCTTAAAGAAAGGTGCATACTTCTCCTCAAATTTTGGATTCATTAGCTTGATTGGTTCTGGTTTCCGTTTTCTCATTTGGAGTGGCTGCCTTGATAATTGGTACTCAGAAGCTTTCGTTCTTATTAAACCAGCAACTTCTTCCATATTTGATCGTAAAATTCCTGGTAGTTTGGCACCATGAAGAACTTCATGAAGCATGACTGCAATTGGCAAGAATATTTCTGGAAAGGAACTCAGACTTTGATACATATCAACGAATTCTATCAAGATCTTAACCAAAAATGATAACATGCTTGCCCTGTTATTGAGATTCAAAAACCAAAATGTAGGGTGAAGATCTAAATTCTATCCTGATTATGTCAACTAACAAATATATATATATATATATATATATATATATCGTGAGCAACCTACTTGAAATTGTCAGACATAAAATAAGCCGATTCATCTGCCATCTCCAAAATCATGAACAAATCAATATGATGCACAGCGCACCCTTCATCATCTATATGGAGCCATGGCCGTGATATTTTTAACTCCAGATGACTCTGACAATATTGAAAAACCATCATCAGTCTTACCCGAAATAGTGTGGGAAAATGAACTCAAAAGAGACAATGTTAAATAAGAACATACAAATCAAAGCTCTTTACGAACCACTGCTGAAACAATCAAGCATATACCTGAGAATGTTGTTCGATTTTCGAGTTTCTCTCCATACTTGACATTAGAAGCATTTGAAAAAAACTTATAACCTCGGGGTAGTATTTCTGGGACTGTTTAGAAACCTACAAATGCAATCATGCTTTGCATAAGTAGCAACAGAAGGTACAAAATGTAAAAACCAGCAGCTGGTACAACAAAATTAATTGAACACAGGATAAAGTCGCCATATTATAGTTCACAAAATCTCACTTAGGCTTCGTTTGGGACGTCTTTCTTATTGCTTTCTAAAGTAGCTTTTTAGTACAAAATCTTTTTAAAATATAATTTTTTTTACCAATAAGCAGCTTTAGAAAGCAATAAGAAAGCTGTCCCAAATGAAGCCTTAAGCCTTGAGCCTTAAAAGGATGTTGGGAAGTTTCAAAAAGAAATGGCCATTTGTAACCTAAATGTATGCTGAATTGTGCATCACACCATAGTTTAAATTTTATAATGATGAAACTCACAGAGAGCAACATGGAACACAAAAAAGACCCAACAGCTATATCTCGGCCCGAAGTGATGGGACAGCGCATCAGATATTCACACATCAAGAGGATCACAGGAGTCAGCACAACATGACGGAAGTCTGAGCAAGGAAATGTTAGACACCATAGTCTGAATAAACTCAGTGTCTTTAAAGAAGGCCAACTGCTTTTCCCTGCAGGAAATTCACGAACACAAAAAATATCTCCTGGTAAGATGCAATCCTTAAAAAGAGCTTAAATAAGTATAGTGAAATCCATGTTATCTGAACCTGGAATCTTAATATCCTCAGAAAATTTTGTCCGTATGTGTATCAATCGTTGTCTGGCACAAACAGATGCAAAATATGGAACTTCTGCTCCAGTCTCAATTAAAGGTTTGACAAGCGAATTAATTATCTTGACATTTAAAGGTTTTTGAGTTGCTAAGACTGCAAAATAATTTAAAAGAACACCATAGAACACCTGCAAGATAAGACAAATAATAGTTATCAAGAAAATCAAAGATAAATATCTTCTATTTAGAAGACGGCATTAATTTTATGACAGAAGAACTTACTTGCATTTTCCTTCTGTTCTCTGCGCCAAGACTGATCGAGTTGTATGCACGAATCCTTCTAATGATCTCAACTACTTCTGCATCAGAATGATTGTCTAGCAAGGAACAAATTTCTGACAAACTCTTTGGAGCTTCAATAACATAAGGAAGCTCTTCTTGGACCTTAGCATGTTTCTCATTAACCTCTATTTTATGAAAATTGATTGAATCATTTTTCAAAACATCCATGCTTGCTTTAGCAATATCTTTCTCATCAGGTTCCTGTGCTTCTTCATCAACGCCTATATCATCATCAGTATCACTATGTTCCCAATCTTGGATTGAGGACATATTATCACCATTGGCATTATCATCATCACTTCCTTCTTGATCATCATCATTACCTTCTGAACCCTCAGAAGATGTGCCATCTTCTTCTTCATGATCCTCATTTTCTTCCCTTTCATATATGGCATCAACCCAACCCTTTTCCTTCCCACTATCCTTGATCGTCGAAAAGGAATCTCCAAGATCATCACCAGAAACATATCTATCCAATCTGGATGATGACTTCATCTCATCTTCAGAACCATCATAATCTTCATCTTCATCAGTAGCATGCATCCTGTTCAGGCGCTCCTCCTGAGAAATTTTGAAGAAAAATTCAAAAAATCAAAATTATTTACCAGACATGTAAAATGTTAAATAGCATTGAGATCGTTAAATAGTATCAAAAGATATGATGTTCAAACACCTCTAATTTCTCCAGAGCTTCTTTTTCTTCTTGAGCTATCTCTTCTGGAGTCTTTGTCCTATCTGAAGGACGAGCTCTAGGTTCAAAATGCAATTCTCCCATGGTTTTATAATATGTGTCAAACATATCATCAGATTGTTTCTGCAAAGAAGAGCGATAATAGCATCCGATTGAGATAAAGAGCATGCAAAACCAAACATGAATAGAGCACAAAAAAAAAAAAGTGAAATAGCAATTTACGAGTATGTGCTAGCAGAAATTGCTTGTAAGTGTTGATGGAAAACAAGTAAACAAAGAATGAAGAATTAATGCATAATGCATCTTTTATCAAATCATGCAAGTATAGAAGCAAATACAGCCCTATAACCAGTGAATGATTTAATTTATAAATGACATAATTTCAATGCCTTTACAATTAAAATTAAGGCTCCTCGTATCCAATTCATTTTGTAAGTAAAAAAAATGCCACAAAAGATAACAAGTAATTAGTATTTGTTATTCTAAGATATTAGATAATGCTTTATGAGTGGGTAAGTGTTCTATGATTTAATCCTTTGAATATAATGACCCAGGAAAAACAATTAAGGCGAGAAACTATCCCCAAGATAAATATTTCATGGAAGAGCTATTACTAAAAATTAAAAAAGCAAACATGACTTCTGAAAAAAAAAAGATCAAAGAAAGAAATTGAAACATGTAAATAATAGTGAAGCAAGAAATCCAGCATTTAAAAGTTCTCGTACATCATGAAAAAGTAAGGAAAGAGGGTCTAGGAGGGAGCAGGGCATGAGAACTCCATCAGTAAGGCAAGCAAGCAAATGCTAGTGTGCTATAACAGGACTTGAAGAGTCCATCCTCTATAGCATGGGAATATGTTATGCAGATGATACTATAATAATTACAACATGAAAATACCCTACGATTTTAAATTCTTGAAAAAACATGTATGAATCCTTAAAAAAATCTGTGGATCAGAAAAGAACCAACTTTAGAAGAATGTTTCAAGTCCCGGCTGCTGAGAGCTACTATGCGTTCATCCAACTCATCTGTTAATTTGTTCAATGCAGCTATTTCACGGTTCATATCTTCTCTTTCTTCTGCCCTTTTGGCCTGACAAAAAAAAGCAATCTAGTAAGAGAACTGGCATTCATCCTACCAAAGAATCTCTACTTCACACATAAGACATGAGGACACAGGCATATTTACTGCAAAGTCATTAAGTAAGCAGGCAAAAACAGATAAATGTGATTGACTTGTTTAGTAAGCATTACAACAACAACAACAAGCCCTTGTCCCACTATGTGGGGTCGGCTACATGAATCCTTTTTCGACATTGTGTCCAGTTAAAAGTCAAATTTCCATTTAAATCTAATAAAGAAAGATCATTTCTAATATTTTCTAACCAAGTCTTTTTAGGTCTACCTCTACCTTTTTTAACATAAGGCGAATCTAATACCTCAACTTTCCTAACCGGGTCATCGAAAGGCCTCCGTTTAATGAGCCATTAAAGATAAAGAAATTGAATTAAGCTTAAATGTATTGCTTGTTTAGTAATACAACAAAATTTATATGATAAACATAATCACTGTCAGAAATGTCATAAAAATACAGGCAACGAAATAAATTTATTTTATACAATACAACAACAACAACAACAACATAAATTTATTTTATACAATACCTTAAAATATTTATCCTTTGCTATTACTTCTGCGTATGCTTGTTTATTGGACTTGCGTCTCTGCAAGTATAACATGGTACAAAAAAACACAAGCGTAAAAAGGAGAAATACCAATTCATTGTCAATGGATAGATCCATTAAGAATAGTCATTTAGAGACTGACCTTTTCTGTTCCATCCTGTGATTCACTTTCCAATGAATCATGCGTTTGGTGCAAATGCAAATTTCTTGATAATTCTGGAACACCTTTAAAACAACATATAAATCATTCAACAAATTCAAAACAGATGGATATTAGAGAGAACCAAAACTTTAATAAAACAAGGTTAGAGGAAAAATGCATAAGATGGAAAGCTATGGCAGTCCATGGCAATTGGGATCAGCAAGTGTTGGATTAGGGTAGTGGAGAACTATGACAACACAATAATAATCAAGCCAATTTTCAACAGCACAGATTCTGTAGAAATCTATCTAAATCATTCTCTTCTATCAATGAAGATGGTTAATTCAATCTTCCGAGGTTTAGATAATGGCATGGCAATAAAGCATAACCCACTTAGTCCTGTCAATGATTTGTAATGAATAACCCCAACCTGATAATCGGCATACCCACCAAATCTCATACATAACCACCCTCAAATATAAAAATCAGTTCTCCTCCTACGAGAAAATTTATTATTCTCTTTCAAAATTTGTTCAAGCATCTGCCATCATATATAACCTTCAAATTCAAGCAAGCTATTGATTCTGATCTGTTTAAAAATTACATAAAAATCAAGTTTCATCAATTTACATAACAATTGAATCATTCATTGTGCATGTAAATATAACATATTGAACTGCAATACTCTCTTAAAGGTCTAGTTTTAACTATATATTTCACTGAATCCACGATTTAATTCCAACCATTTGAAAGTCTATACATTGAAATCATGATTGCCTTCTAACATAATATGCCATTCATTGATAAAATTTGTATGTATTTGATTGATGCAAATGATGAATAAATTTTTTTGAATCAACATATGCCACAAATTTTAATTAACTTTGAAGAGTGTGATTTTTTATATAACATTTTAATGTCAATAAATCAAAACTCTAGAGGGAAATGATGATTCTCCACCGAGGAGAAAGGTCCATTGTATATACCAACCCAAAACCAAAAACGATTGTAAGCATGATTTAACAGCCAAAATTTTCATTAATCATCATTAACATCATCGTTAGTTATATCCCAACTATTTAGAGTTTACTTTATGCATTAACATTCTTCATTCATTTATGTTAAGTAATGCTTGAAGTTGTCAATCTATTGTGAATCTTTTTGCACAATTATATATATATATATATATATATATATATATATATTACCCTTCATCTACCCAATTTTTCCTTCAATCCTTCCAAATCAATTTTATCCAGCCAATTTATTGGTGTATCTTGTACCTTGTACAATCACAAACTAGAAAATTTATTCTCCACTAAATTATGTTCAAATAGCCCTACTCCTACAATTCCTCTCACATAATCATATCCTAATTAATTCTTTATACATTTCACACAACAATCTTAATATTCTCATTTTTGTGATACTCAACTTGGCTATCAATGAGCTACTTTATCCCACAATGCTCGGATACATATAACATAAAGTTGCATTTAAGGCTCACCAATAATGAAAAATTTAATAAAAAATGTGAGGACAAAGAAGGTTTAGCAAAGATTAAATGTTATTAGATAACCAAACATAAAAATGTAGAACAGAGAACTCTCATAAACAGATTTTGGCACAAATCTTGAGCAAGAAACAATGAAAGGAACGAACAAGCAAACATTAACGTTTGCAATTAAGCAAAAGTGGAACAAACTAAAAGCTCATCATTTGGAAACATGAGCCATGAATACATTTATATTAAGAAAACATCAATAGTCATGATACTTTCCTTATTATGACTAAAAATTACAATATCTAAATAACTGCACAATCACAAATTTGATTATTTCCTAACTTATTTTCTTACAAAAATGTGAACAATTGTTAAGTACTTGAAAATTGCAAACCTGTAATCCCATCATGTTCATCATCATCTAGTGGCACTTGTTCATTAAAATCATCCAGTTCTGTGAAGAAATCTGCTCGAGGAAATGTAGAATCATATTCCTCCTCATCGGACAGGTTATATTTGCTTGCTCGTTTTATCTTTGACTGTATAATGGCAAAAGCAATGCAAACATGAGACTCAACATATATTTCATGAACATATTTCATTGCAAGAATTTCAAGCATTCGGATTTAGGAAGGTAAAATTTTGACCGTTGAGGCTACAAATCAAAGAAAAAAATCAGGCCATAAAATCAAAAATAACAAAAGGCAAGATTTTTTGTAGGTTTAACATAACTAAAAGCATTCATGAGTGGCAATAACATCCCTTGAATGCTGTGAAAGAAGTATTAACATGCAACATAAAATCTTATTTAGCTTTTCAACAACCGTTAACCGGCCACACGAAATTCTCACTTCTACATTATCGAGGATATATTTACTATTGTAGAAAGAACATAGGTTCCATCACTAAAAATGATTTCAAAGATAACAAAGTCAAGTACTTCCCTAGGAGACATGATTAATTTTGGCAGCTCTCAAGGACGTGTTCACGTGCTTAAGAATGTCAAAACCCTTCTCCACCATTTCGGCCTTTTACCTTCAATTGGTGGTTCTTGCAATATTCTGTTTTTCACTTTTTTCCCCTTATTTTGAAAAGAAGCTCGAAGGTTTGCATGAAAGTGCATTCTCAGTCTTTTCAAATGACAAGTATCAAAACACAAATTTCAGTCGAAATAAATATATGAGAAGTTTGGTAAGAGTGGTCACCTGCCGCTCACGCTGCATGCGTAAGATTGCCTTATCAAATTCTTGGAGAGTATCGTCCTTCTCTCCAAGCCGCCGGTCAATGAACTTGGCCGACTTGGTGCTTTCCAAGTACTCCTTCATTAAAGTTTTCTTCCTCTGTTGTCAAATTTATGAATTGCATTCAAGAACTATCAGAATAAGTTTTAGATGGAAGTAAGCAGAAAAGCTGGCACCTTTTCGATTGCAAGGGAACGTGAGAGACCCATTCGGACCTCCTCTCCTTTGCCCTTCTTTTTCCCAAGTATATCAAACTTCCGGCGGGACCAAATGGTCTCAAAGGGGTTGGCCCCACTTTGTTTCGATATTTTCATTGAAGCCACCATAGGTCCGGAAGGCTTTCGTTTCTTCCCACCCTTCTTCTTTCCGCTGGCGGCCATGGATTTCACCTTCATCTTTGCCATTTCGGGCCTGTTTGAATACAGCATTTACGTCAGATTTAAGCAAGAATTGAGCTAAAACCTGCCAAACGCCAAAAAAGTACAAAGCTAAGGGGCTGTTTGGTATCGGATTTACAGCGGGATTTAAGCGGGATTTACGTTAAATCCAGCCACACGGTTTTTGTGCGCGCTTCAAATCCCCGGGATGGATAAATCCCGTATTTAAGGATTTACGGCAGAAATCCGGGATTTACTTAATCCCTCGGTTCGGCGGATTAACGGGATTTGGCCGAAGACCTTCGCAGCCAGCGAGCTCCCGTTGTCTTCCGATCAAATGTCGTAACTTCCGATCCGACAGGAAGGGAAAGTCGTCGAAGGAGCGAAGTCGAACAGCCACGCAGGAGCCGAAGAAGCGTCGCGTTCAATCTCTACACCTCTTGCCAAGAAACAAAGCCCAGCAACCACGAAAAGAGAAGATGAAAGGCAAACCCTAGACTAGGGTGTCCGAACCGAAAATTTCAGGTTAGGTTCAACCGAAAGGTAGGTTCAACAATTCGATTCGATTGAAAAATTGGGTTAGATTCCGGACTCTTTGATCCGAAATTGACCCGTATTGACTTGAAAATTCATTTTTGACCCATCAACCCTAGATTGACCGGTTTTTGACCCGAAAATTGAAGATTGGCACATTTTTGGACCCGAAAACTAGTATTTTTTCATGGCCTCGAGTTATTCGGGTCGTGTCAGGTTGACTCGAACCCGAAGTTGTTCCTCGAAGTTGTTCGGGTTCGGGTCTAGAAAATCGGGCCGTTTTAAAAAACGTGTAAGACTTGGGTTTACCCGAATATTGCCGGGATGGCCCGAAATTGACATCCCTACCCTAGTCGCCTCCAAGTTATTATTGATTACCTTAATTAATATAATTTTAAATATTAATAATAATTAAGTAACTTAATTAAATAATTAATAGTATAATTAGTGTATAAAATAATTATCTAATTTAAAATAATTGAATCATTATTAATTAAATATTAATATAATTAGCTCATTTGATATATCTTAAATTATATATTATTAAATATATAATTAATAGTGTAAATATTAATTAATGAGTAGTTGAGATTCTTAAGTGATCTAATGAGATAACTAATCAATAATAATTTTATAATTAATACAAACTAAATAATAACCTTAAAATAATTAATTCAAATATTAGTTAAGTAACTAGTGATTTTAAAACTAGTAAGATTAAATTAAGTTTCAAAATAGAATAATTACTATAATATTATTATAAATAATAATTAAATAATTTTATTAAAAATATTAATGATTAATGAATAATTATAATTAAGAATAATTAAGAATATTAAATAATACTTCAAATAATTGAAAATATTAGTAGGAGATATAGTGTTAAGATAATGTAAGTTAATTAAATTTGATATACTTATTAATATAATTGAGATAGTCAAATCTTATTAAATTAGCCACATAAACAAGTAATTTAATAAAATCGGTAAGGTGAAATAGTTAATAGGTTAAGGTAACAATTAATACATTCTAATAATTAATATCAAGATTCCACTAGTTAAATTATTTATCGTATAAATTTTGTTGAGTCTAATATAAGTAAAATTAAATTCTATGGTGAAATATGCTTATCTGAACAATGTTTATGTTCATAAATGTACCATGAGCCACGTTAAGTCTGAATAGTTATACATTCATTTATCATTATAAAAATTGATAAGTCTAACTGATCTTCTCACACATGGACTCAGAGTATCACTAACTGGCAACTAAGAGCAGTGATATCCTGATGGTATAGATTTCAAGCAATAAAACAATTTACTCAGGATTATTAGCAGGACCTTAACGATCTTGTCGTCACTGACACATAAACAGTACTCGAATTTCACAGGATTTAAATGCCCTCCATGATTATACTGAATTGCGAAATTTAAGAATGGAAGTAAAAATCCTCACAATGCCAAACAGCCTAAATTCTCAACGATAAGGCTGTTTTTATAGGATTATACGTTAGATTTGAGCAGGATTTATCATAAATCCTATCAAACAGAATTTACGCTCAACGTAAATATCTCACAGCGAATAAATCCTCTATTTTAAATCTTGGATTTACTAAATCCTGTAGCTCGTAGGATTTACGGATTTGGTCGAAGAAGCGCGCGAAAGGGAGAAATTACCTTTCACAACGACGCGAGTTTCGGTCCTTACTTCCGACGAAATGTCGTAATCTGATCCCATAGAGAAAAGGGAAGGTCGTCGAAGGAGCGAAGTCAAACAACAACGAAGGAGCCGAAAGAAGCCACTCGGTGCAATCTTACACCTTCAAGCCAAAACCGGAACGACGAAAAAAAGAGATGAAAAACAGCCCTAAGGTTAACTTAATTAATTAATATATAAAATATTAAATAATTTAAAGCAAATTATTTTAATAATTAATAATATTATAATTATTGCATAAATATACTTATAATTTTAACTTAAATTGATAATTAGTAATATAATTTAGAATAAAAATTATTAAATATATAATTAATATTGTAAATAATAATTAAATAATAAGATGACTCTGGTTGATTTTCTATCGATTTTTCACAATATACTTTTCATATATGAGTAGTTGAATAATTAAGTGTCTAATAAAATAACTAAAAGTACAATTAATCATTTCGAAAATTAAATAACAATTAAATAATAAATGAATTTTTAATTAGGTATATTGATTAAAAGATTATAATGATATCACTTATCATTACAATTTATTGATGCTAATCAAAATAAAAATTAATAATTTAATATACCTAATCAATTTCTCTTTATAATAAACAATTTCGTATGATTTAACAAAATTTATCACTTAAATTGTTAAACATTTTTTAGGATTTAACAGCCCCAAGATTTATTAAATCCAGGATTTATAGAATTTACTAAATCCTAAGTGACTAAATCCTACTAGTTGCCAAACAGCCCATAAGTCTAATCTCTATTTCATGGCGTTTTCATAATTTTTGGCCTAAATCCTGGATTTCATAAATCCGAGTTTTTTTTTTTTTTGTAGATTTTGTAAATCCGACTAAAGAAGTGTGCGAAAGGGATTTTTATTTGGTCCGGTGCAAGGACCTAGAGGAAGGTTCGGTTTTGCCTAAAAAAGTGCAAATACCGAGTTTTTTGAAAAAATACCGAGTTTTTTGAAAAACTCAGTATTTGCACTTTTTGACCTATTTTTGTCTAAAACCGAACCTTTCTCTACATCCAGTGAAAGGACCTAATAATTGCTCGTGCGAAAGGAAGAAATATCATTACCTTGGCAGTTAGCTCCGGATGCAACTTCCGATCAGACATAAATAACATTGTTAGAGAAGGCGGATAAGCTTCAACTCTATTAGAACTCTATTTCACTCGAAGCTAACGAATTAAAATAAATGCAAAAGAGGAAAAGCAAAACTTAGAAAGGCAATGGCAAACGACTCGTTCAAAGCTCCATCGGTCCACCGGTCCACCCCACTCGAACTCATAAAGCCGAAGAGGAAAGCTCTACCTCACACAAACCGCGATGAAGATACAAACGCGGAAAGCTAATTCTTAATTTATTAAATAGTCATTAATTTACTAAGCTTAATTCATATACTTTAAAACGTAAATTAGATGATTAGTGGTAGAAATGTTAATTAAATAATTATTTAGTAAAAGAATATTTATTTGATTAATTAGATAATCATAAGTATAATAAGTAATTATAATTTTATTAAAATAACATAAAAAATAATGAAATACTTAGAAATTATAATTAAATAACTAATATAATAATTATCATTATAATTAGTATTGAAATATTTATTAGAATAACACCAAAATGAGTTATTAATAAAATACTTATTAAAATAACATACTAATTAAATTATTCATAATTATAATTAAAATTAATTAGTAACTCATATGTAAAACATAAATAAGGCTTTAAATTCTTAATTACACTGCCAAACAATCCCACAAAATTTATCAAGATTTAACATATTTCTTATCAATGCATATTCATATTTTTTTGAGAAAACAGTGACCAATGCATCTTCATAACGCCTCAATACGACTAGCAATAGTTAGACCATCAGAATGGTCTCAGAAGTCAATATAACAGAAAATAGTGACCAAAGCTTTATTTTGACACCGCTTGAAAAGCATGCAAGAAGGCCTCTGGAGGTTGCCCACCACTGAGCTGAAACGATCCATTAAACTGAGAGGAGGAGAGTTTTCCATTAGATGAAACAAAGTAAAATGATTCATATAAACAAATATATTTTGAAAATAGTATGAAATATAAGTATTAATTTACCACAAAGTATGGAACACCCGAAATGCGAGAGGAATACTTCTCCAGTTCTTCATTGACCTTGAGACACAATAAGTTCATAGAGTTGACTTTGTTTCAAATATGAACAGAGAGGAACAGATTGATCTATATAGATAAACGATAATTTGTTTGCAAGCTACCTCTTTAAGACCTTTATTTGGATCATTAATCAATTCTGCAGCTCCTTCTATGCCAACCTTTTGGGCAGCATCCAAAAGTACTTGCCTGTAAGTAAAGTGCAAGTGGACATTTTATGGTTTAGTAAAAAACTCGCTTTAATGAACTTCTCTTCCAACACTCAGCTTCAACCACTTTCAAACAATTAACACTGAGACAAACCGATGTAGAATGATGGAGGGGTCATTTGAATTTTAAATTTTTTTAATTTATTGGAGAAGGGAGGGATGGGAGCCGGCCAAAGAGAGAGGGGAGAGGGAGAATTGTCCGCATTCAATATATGTGTTCACATACATTCAACAGGGAGAATTAAATTTAAATCCAATCATTTAATTCAAATTTGTACTAATTGAGGGGAATTTTCTAAAATAGGTGCAGGATATTTAGGAAAGATTTTAAGATTCAAATTCAAATTCATTTGAATTTGAATTATGAAATCTTTCCAAATAAGACAGGAAAAAAATTATAGGTTTCAAGAAGGACGGAAGATTACATGTTTCAAATTATTGGTTTAACAAATCATTTGAAACAAACATAAATCCATTTTCATGCATATACAATTTAAAAGACGAAGAAATTCTGGACAGGACATACTTATCGCCAATAAACTTTCCCTGAATGAAATAGTTCTGGAATAACTCCTCAACAAGTGCATTTTGTTTTTCATAGCCTTGGTTAGCAGCAAATGAAATGAGCCTGTGACTGTCCAAGGTATTTCCCCTACATTAAATGCAAATAGAATCATGACAATCATTCTAAGCAATCAGTACTATGCCTAAGCTGTTATGAAATAGACTTACGTCATTCCAGCAGTGTCGTACTCAAAACCAAGACCCCTAAAAACCTATTAAAACATTCAAAAAGTGGAGCCATATTCAGAAGTTCAACTGTTAAAAGTTGAAACATTAATGCTTCGTTTGGGACGGCTTAATTAAAATTTTTTACTAGAAATATGTTTTAAGAAGCAGTAAGAAAGCAGTCACAAACGAAGCCTAAATTTGCATAGTCCTTTGAAACAGACCTCTCTCATTCGTGATATAATGTGCTCATACTGGGTGGATCCAAACTTATTTTTGTAGAATTCAGACTTCAAAATGCCTTCTTTAGGCGCATTGGGATTAAGGAAAAATGGATGCCACTTTACCTGCAAATAGCAGCAGGAAAAGGAAATATTCCAAACCATTGATTAAGGAAATGATAAATAAAGCTAAATAAACATCTACTGAAGACAAAAGATGACCTCAAAATTAAACTGATCCTTTGCCAGGCTCATGGCTTTTTCAAGATTCTTCTTTCCAACAAAGCACCATGGGCAAACAGTGTCTGAACTGACATCAATTTGGATAAATTTCTTTGAAGTACTGTCAACAGCTTTTTGGTCCATGAATCTTATGTATCTGCAAGAGCATAGAAGATCAGTAAGAAAATCACATTTAAGGATGTTATACTCAATAGGATGCATAGATAAATACTTCCAATGGCCAAAGTAAACCATTGAATGAGCAATTGGTCAGTAATATTCAAACAAAAATTTGATATTTAAGAACATAAGCATTTTGAATTGCAACCTTACTAGCTTCATGGGGTAAGTAACGGAATATATTTTTCCAAAAAATAAAATCAAGTAAAGTTCAATTCACACAGCTCACCTTAGTCTGTTGATTGGGAGCTTAGGCTACCAACTAAAATGTCTTAGGTTCGAGTCTTGTGTATGTGATGTGTGTGTAAGTCTGTCTTAATTAACCTAATTGTCCCCAAAAAAAAGTTCTATTTAATAACACTTCAAGCATAGAGGTATGCAATTTTTGTTTATGTGCTAAGAGTAAAACATATTTTACACACTACCTTTCATTAAATACAGAAAAAAATGACATAGGCGTTATGCTACAGAAATATGCCACACCAGGGATATCAACATACAACAAAAAATCATGCTTAAGAAAATAATTCTACTAATTCTCACTTTCCTCTTCTCGTGGATGGATCCTAACGTTAGAAGCTTATTTTAAATTAGAAAAAGGCTGGCTGCAAATTCCTCAATAGACATAGGCTAAGAAAATCCAAACATAGAATACCCGCCATGGTGTGACCAAGAAAAAGAAAAATCAGTCAAACAATAAGGATGAACTAATTGATCATCAAAAACTCACCTAAATATATTTTCATTTAGATAAACTAGCTCGTTTCACAATCATAAACAACGCCATCAGTGCCAATCCCAGCCCTCGCTCTGAGAAAATCAACTAACTCACTGAAGGGAGAATGAAGGAAAACTCAAATTCCAAGCTCTTATGAACTGTCCTAATCATTCACAATCAATTACATCGAAAAAATCTATCAATTCGATCACCAGAGTTCCAAAAACCAAATCAAACAAAAAACCCCTTGGCAAATCGGTATCTTGACTTTTGGCTAGAATCTCCTAAGTAAAAAAATCAATCAAAACCCAATTCTCCAAAATTTGTCTCACACAAACATTTCGATTAAGAAATACTAATCAAGACGCTGTCTTTAACCATTAACCGCTACAAGTAGAACAGTGAGTGGATGAAAAGAACAAAAAAGTCCAACCTTGAGCGCTCAAATCGATCGATAATACTAATAGAAAACCCTCGAGGCTTCTTCGCATAAACGAAGGCTTTGCCCAACCTTAGAGCCACCTTAGTGTTATGCACTGCCAATAAGGAGTTGAGACTTCAACATTACGTGCTTTTAAAGAAATGTGGCTTGGACTTCACCTCAATGAATGATTGAGATATATTTTTTAATATGTGGAAGGAGAAAACAAATTAGAATTTATAAATACACAATTTTGACTTCATCTCCAAATTGTTTGTGGTTTATAAAAATTTGAACCATGAAATTTAAAGTTTATTAATTTTAGATATTCCTTACAATAAATCATGCATCTTAATTTTTTGTTACATCTAAAAAAAATTATACCCTAATAATCACAAAATTATGAGGAGCATTAATCTCTTTAATTAGACAAATAAATTGATTGCAACAAACTAACATATGTAATTTAATATGATGCTCAATATTTTTTATCATATAGATAATTTAGAGTGATTTTTACATTCTCCTAAAAAATAATATGATATATTTAATAGAATAATAAAATTATTTCTCTTCATTATTTATTTTTTCTAAAGTATTAGTATTGGAGGCTAAATTATATTCTCATTTATAGGAAGATAAATTCATAAATAATTTCTTCGTCCATATTTATTAGGTCATCTGATAAGTGCATTTAACTAGCAAATGATTCTATATTTGATGGAATCCTACAATATTCCTTTATGAATTAAATAAAATCCTCTCATGTATAAATCTAATTGTGCTTCATCATTTGTATGAAATTTTGTGCTCTTGTGCTTCAATCAAGGATATCTAATTTCAAACTCTTAAGAAAAACCTATTCTTGACATGAAAATGTTAAAAATACATATATTTCAACTGCATTAAAAAAAGTATAGGTTATGTGATCTATTCTACTAAGTAGCCTATTCTATGCCTAACTTCTTTTTTTTTTTGTTTTGGAATCCATGATATTTTTATAATTAATAAAACATAAAAATAAAATTCTAGTATAATAAATTAATATTATTATATTTTAACTTGGATTCAAAAATTAAATAATAGCATTCTAGTATTACATATAGAGTTATAATACACTTGTTAAATTTGTCATGCGTTGATTCTTACATGAGGTGGCCCATCTATATGCAACTCATGTATGTTATAATATAAAGTACTGGCCCTTGAAGAGTCACTTAAGGTACCTGCTGGAGGGCCTCGTCAAAGGTAGGGCCACATAAAAGGTTGAGGGAAACATTTATCCCAATCAGTTCAATCCACGTGTTTGTGCCACTTTATACCATTAGGTGTGGTTTTTTGTATCCATTTTTACCTAATAAACAAATGGTTAAAGGCTTGCTTTTGGACTTCATGCTATTTGAATTATTCACATATATATAATAGAGCTTCTTACTTACTCTCCATTCTTACTCATTTCCTCACTTAGATCCTTAGCTTTAGCCTGCCAAAATTTGTTAGTAGTGTTGGTTGAAGCCCATAGGCAAATTTGGATTCAACAAATTGGTTGATAGAATTATGAAAAAAAGTCCATTGATAATCATTGGAAATTTTTTGCAAATACATGAATAATTTGTTAAAAAATTGTCACTTAAATAATCATTATTTTTTAAAAATTTATGACAAAATCTATTAGTATCAAAGTGAATTTCAATTATAAAATCATTAGTAAAATCATATTTTATTATTGTTTTGTTGTTGATATTATTATTTATAGGTTGCCATAAATTCATATTAATTTGATACATATATACATTAGAAAAATCCATCGGTAGTAATTTATTTTCTTGAGTAGATTGAGGATGGGCTAACATGTTTGTATTAAGTAGACAAGAGAAAGATAATATGCTAGTACTAAGCAAATGAGGATCAACCATCATGATTGTGTTAGGTAAATAAAGTTAGATCTTGAAATCTCATTAATTTTAACATACGTCGGATTGTGTGCACTAATCAAATGAGCAGAGTCCATCGAGCTTAACAATACTTGATATGATGTTTGTGATACCCATGCATGGATCCCAATGTTCGGGCATAAAATTAGGGAATTATGTTATTTATTTTATAATAAAATATTCTCCATTTATATAAATAATGAATGAATCAGATCACATCCTCCCATGATTAAAAGGGAATTAGATTATTTTATTTATAGGTCAAGCCAACTAGCTTTCTCATATCGAGGGTGCTCTGAGTGCTCTGAGCGGTTGCCCATGGAATAATAACTTTTTGTCTTTAACAATAACTCTAATAAGTGAACAAAATATACAATCATATAGATTTGAATAACATAAGTCCAATGGTGGTTACAAATTAAAATTCTAATGGGAGGATTGAAATGAATATTTTGAGAAAAGTATTAATTTAAATTTGTGATAATGAAAAATGACAATAGTTTGCATTAAAAATTTTTCCTTCTTAACTGAAATATTTCATTGCAAATAATTCACGAAATGGAAGTTTATATATAGCCTATAGAAGCTCTATGAACTTAAAAATATTGAACATATTAGAAATGAGCACACCCCATCATAATCACTTGACATCAATGTGATGCTCATAATAAGGATACATTAGAGGGTACTCAAATGAGCTCTACAATCATAAAAAATGGAGGCAATTACCACTTCCCTTTTCATTAAGTCTAAATATATTTAAAAAAAAAAAGAGTAATTGGTTACAAATAACTCTCATAGGTCAAAGAAGGACCCTAAGGTGAACTTAATATTATATACAAAGTATAATTAGCTATAATGGTATATAATCACAAGGAATGAATGGACTTCATGGTGCTTTTCTCATTTAATGTTAAAAATAATTTTAATTTTACTTTATTAGCAATGGTTATAATATAGGATCTAGAGTTGGAGCAACTAAAGAAGAAGTTAGATTTTCTCCATAATTATTAATGTAATGAGATCTTTGTATAATAATCAACATGTTTGAATTTACAAGAAAGAAGATCATGCATCCATATTAAAAAGTCTTTATATGGACATAAGTTGTCTCCTAAATAGCAGTACGAAAAAATTTAATGATTAGCTATATATGGGCTCAATAAAAAAAAACTTATATATTAGTTGTGTGTGCCACAAGCAACTTATGAATGTATCTTTAGCATACTTGCTCTACGGATATATCTTTTGCATACTTGGTCTTATATGTTTAAGATATATTATTTATAACTAGATATATGTCATAAATATCAATATAGTAAATTCACCCCGTACTGTATTTTCTTTCATAATTTTTTTTGTAGGAAATTCTGTTGGTAATTGGTGAACCCGATGAATTTTTTTGTTGTAAATGCTATTTTATTTTTGAGGGAAAAATTTATCAAAATTTCAGTCAGAAAAGGCCCTATTTCAATCCGAGCCCGCCTCCCTCTCCCATTTCATATTTTTTCTCCCAAAGACATCTCTTGGCCTCTTTGTCACCCGTAACCGTCCAAGGTGATTTCTAGTCTGTTTAGCTCTATTTCTTTGATATTTGAAAGGTATTATAATAAATTTTTTATTTTTAAAGATTTTTTACATTAGATTTTGTTTAAAATATGTTGTAGTTATATATTTAGGGTTACATATAAATTATCTTTTGCATCCATCACTTTGTTACACTACAAGAAAGTTAGCAGTTTGCGGTGAACTTTACAGCGGATTATTCTTTTTCAAAAATGGCGACGAATTTGGGTCAATTTTTTTTTTTTTTTTTTTTGCTTTCTAAAATGATTGTTTAGTACAAATATTTCTTGAATAAAATTTTTTTATGTTAAAAAACTATTTTAAAAAGTAGAAGAAAACCTTTACAAATAAAACCTAAAATTTTTCTCAGATTCAAGTAGGGGTGTCAATTCAGGTCGACGGGTCGGATTCGGTTCGAACCCGACTTGATCCGGGTGTAAACGGGTCAACCCGAACTTGACCCGTTTAAATATAATTTGGTCAGGCGCAGGTAGCTGCTCAGGCGAGAGATGGCTTGGGCAACGTGAAGCCAGCTTGGCCGGGCAGAATTTGTGGTTTTTTTGTTGAAATTTTATTACAAATTTTCATCACTAATCCACCGCAAAAGGATAACTTTCCTATAGTGTTAAAAATAGTATTGCACGCAACATGATTCTTATTTAGGGTATATTCATGCCTAAAAAAGTTGATATTATGGAGGGTGACATAAATTTGTGAAATTATTATGTTAAATGGTAATTATTTAGGGCTATTCATGAATTAGAACATTTCTTATAATTATATTATTTTAATATTGATTACCAAAGTCACATTCACTAATTGCAATAGAAGAATCCTAATTAGTGGAAATGGAATGTGGTGCAAAGAGATTAAATACCTTCATATATTTTCAGCAATTCATATATTTTTTATTTTTTTATTTGTTAGATCAAGTTATGTATGGGATATCCGAAGTTAGAGGTCATGGGTGTATAATAGGTTGTTACCAAGAAGAAATTCACTCTCAGATGAATTAATTTATTAAGTGAGTTGAATAATTTATTGTCATGTCATGTCAATTATCTTCATTTTTATCAAATGAGATGTTAGATGTCTTAGCTCAAAGCATAAGTCGGAAAAATTTGCCCTTTATCCGTCAGAAATTCGTCGGAAAACCCGCCGGAAACAATTCCGCCGGAACTCCGCCGGAAAATTCCGCCGGTAATGGGCAGTTTTTTTGTAGTGGTATCCAATTTGGGGTTGACTTGATCTACAAAAATTGATAGTTGTATCAATGATTGTATGTTGTATTATAAGGATGCCTTGTTAGAAGTTGCATATTGTAGCTGCATTGCACCTTGATACAAATCAAAATATGAGAAACAACAAAAATAGAAGAATGTGCCATATTCTCAATTATTTTATTAACCCATCATTCCTAAACTTCAATGGTTGCATGCATCGATGGGCTCTGTTGGTCATATGAGATGACATAAAGAGAAGTTATCTCAAGCAGGTGTTCTTACTCATCCTTTAAATGATGAAGCGTGGAAGTATTTCGATTGTATACATCCTTCGAATTATGTAACATAAGACTAAGATTATAAGCAGATGGCTTAGCTCCTTACGATCAAGCAATTTCACCACTCTTGCTGGCCTATTATAATAATAGCTTATAACCTTCAATAGTC